GCGCGTTCGGGACATGTTGCGCGCGAGAATCGCATTGCACCAGCGAACTGATTCCCAACTATCGGGAGTTTTCATTTAGAATTCATGTTTAGTTACAACTAGCGCTATCTTACCATTGACTTACTAAGCAAGAAAGAGTTTTCTATGACTATCAAACCTTGAAACTTCTGCTTGTAACATTCAAGCCCTTGGCAATGATTTGAAATTGAAATTATAGAACACACGTGTGAATTGTTCAAGTAAATATTGAGTAAATAATCCGTATTAACTTATTTGTTAGTATTACAGTCAATATTAAATTTACTATTGCTAATATTTAATGAAGTTGTAGTTTTTGTCTGTGTTGTGTTATGTAGGATGTAGTCATGTACCAATTTTAAATAGTTTCGGCTGTAGCACACTTATTGCGTTTTAACTGCGATCAAGCTTTGTGTGTTTAGTAGCAATCATGATTCGAGCGAGTGCGCATCGCTTATTTAGCAATCAACTCGCGATAAACTCATTGAAACGATGTTACGCTCTTGGTGTAACCGCAGAAACGGAAGCGGATGTGATGCCAAGCGATTGGCATAGTGCAAAACCATATGAATCTATTCCGGGTCCGACCCCGTGGCCAATCGTTGGTAATGCCTGGAGATTCATTGGTGGGGTTGACTTTTTAAAGATAATGAAACAGTAAGTTAACAAAATGGCCGCCATGAGATATTTTTATGTTTGAAACATAAAATGAAAAATATTTCCTTATAGAATGCATAATAAATATGGTGATGTGGTGATAATGCGCCAACTTCTGGCTCTTGGTGATATGACAATGCTTTTTAACATTCGTGATATTGAATGGTTACTTCGCAATGAAGGAGCGTGGCCTATTCGCGATGGTTTAGCATCCAGTTACAGATATCGTCATGTACTACGCAAGGACGTATTTGGAGATACTTATGGTTTAATTAACGGGTTGGTTCCTGAAAATCCGTGAAATCAACAAATCAACAATTGATTATGTACCTATATAAATTAAATTTTCTAGTCAGAATGAAAGTTGGGGAACTTTTCGAACGGCAGTTAATCCAATAATGATGCAGCCTCGCACAACACATCAGTACATACCTCAAATCAACGAAATCGGTGACGAATTCATTGAGCTCGTTACAAAATTGAAGTCGAAAGATGCCAATAATGAAACACCCGATAATTTCGCTGATGAACTGAATAAATGGGCGTTTGAATCAATCACGGCCATTGCATTGGACACACGATTAGGGGTTTTAGCTGAGAAACCCAGTGCTAAAGCTGAAA